AATAGATATATCTCCAGAAATATTTTCAAAATAATAATTAATTTATCGACTTATAAAATATAGTGATTTTAAAGAATTATGTAAGATTTGATATTAATTGGTAAAGGTACTGATTAGGTGTATATTAATACTGATAAAAAGCAAATACACATAAGTACCACTTTATTAATTTATAAATTGATAATTGTCCCTTTATCGTCGAAAACTCCAAACTTAAAATATATAAAATATATTATATGTGAAATGAAATCTAATTACGAATATTTATAAAAGTACGAGGTTTGTTCCAAAAGTATTTGTTTGTAATTTAATGAAAATAAAATCTAACTTTTCGTAAATTCCGTATTGAAAAGGTAATAAATTTCTTTAAATATACTCATAAAGTTTATATTAAGTTATTTCTTTTTTAAAATATTATTCATTGCACGTGATGCTTTTTTGTTTATTTTTATAATACTTTGGCTGGTTTTTAGATAAGTTAGATGTTCACTCTCAATACTGGGAAAGTATTACTTTGGTTCCAATTTTGGCGACTGTTATGTTGGCGGTGACTGTTTTTCTTTTGGTTTTGTTCAGGCAAACGCCAACATTGGTGGCAGCAACTGTAGCAGCAACATTAACGATCATTGGCATATATCTTATTCTTAGCAGTATTACCGAAAGTCGACCGAAATATGAATAAAAGTTATTAGAATAATGTCCCCATATTAATGGTTAATCGCTTTCAAGTTAGGCTAATAAACCCTCACTATCTTCACGAGTCATTTAAATATAATACATACACTTGTCTAATATTATGTATAAGTGTAGATTAGATTATGTGATATTATATTGTTAATTATTACATTACTATTAACGGTTACAATATATATGTAATAAATTATTTATAGTTCTTAACAGCAACGTTATAATTGTTTATATTCAAACAAACCCATTTTCTTCGAATTTATAACAAAAAATGCTATAACAACTTTTATTCGAATAAAAAAAAGAATAATTATTGTTTAACATATAGACAGGAATTAAAACAGAACACAGTGTATATACATATTTTTATAATCGCTCTGTATATATAAAATATCTTAAAGACCTACTAGAGTTCTCTTTTGGTAGTATGCTCAAGTAAACGAGAAACGCACGTATAAAACGTTGGTATAAAAGAAATTTCATAAATGCCGATAATATGATCCCTGTCATATTGACATACCGTCAATGTCAAGTTTAAATGTCGATTTTAACTGTTAACTGTGTTTATAGTGAATGTTTTTGTGAATTTTAAACCAATAATACTTTATTTGCAAGTTTTATAAATGAATAAGAACGTATTTTTGTAATATAGCAACATAAAAATCAGTTTTGGGTAAGTATTGTTTGATTAATTTGATATTTTACCATATTTTTTAATTGTAATCAGTACCTTTTTACTTAAAAAACGTTACAAAAAATTATATATTTTTTTCTATGTAGGATAAAATGGAATCATTTGGCTCATTATTAAGTAATGAAGTATTTGACAATAATGGAGCAGATATTCTAAAACTTAGTCCTGAAGATTTTGGTAGAGAATCTCTTATGCTTGGTAGAGAGTCACTTGGAATTTTAAAATTAAATGAATTAGATGTTACACTTAATGATTACGGTCGTGAATCACTTGGCATTATTGACATTGAAAAATTAAACATAACAGCACACAATTCAGCTGGTTTTCTAAACAGTCCTTTAAATACTGCATTTATATATACCAATTCATATGGAAAATTTCCTAGTACTTCTACAAATTCTGGAGATATTTCATTTCATTCAGCAAGTCTGAATGGCTCTGAGATTTCAAAGATTTATTCTGTTCAATCTTCAAATTTTGCTTTAAATGAAACTTTAAATGAAGCTTTTGGAAGTGGAGGAAGTTTATTAAAAAGATTTTCTAAAGATTGCCAGACAATTAACGTTTTAAATAATAATATAGACACAAAAGATAATGATAAAGAACTACATTCATTGTCTCAAATCCCCAATTTAACATCTTGTAAGGGTGATATACCTAAACAACAGTTACAAAGATGTGTCAGTGAAGGAGGATCAACTAATACAGAAGCTAACAAAGACATTAAGAATTTATCAATCATAGAGGATCAAGGACACTTTGTAAGTTGCAGTTTGTTATTCTAACAATTTTATAAAGTAAAATAAAAAATATATGGAGGAGGGTCTTAGCTGAGAAGGTGTGAATGATCCAATATAATATCTATAACTTTGAGGTAAGCTAAAAAGTTGATAATGATTTAATCTGTTTTAACTAAGTAAGTGGTGGCAAGCTGCTGTGAAATTTAAGGGATAAATTAATTTTAATAGTGGTATCTTTCACAAAATTATTGGATTTACACCTTCAGAGGCAGTTTATGTATGGTGCTTTTTCAGCTAAGGCATTTAGTTTACTCAACTTGGTTGCTAAAAATATTCTTTTATAGGAAGATTTTGTTTTCATTGAAGCCAGCTACCTAGCAATGAAAATTCAAGACATATCATTTGTTGATGATGGTAAATTCTAGTAATTAAATATTCCATAACTTTTTTAATTCATTGTATTTTAATAGCAGATGAATTGTTCAACATTGATCAAACGTCACCACCTAAAGAATTAGACCTCGCAGAAGTAGCTGAAGACAATATTCA